GGGTGGATATAGCTCGCTAGCAGCCTCGCGCCGAGGACCCACGTCGTCATTTACCCAGAATGCTTTGTGTGTAAATAAAATGGCTCCGTCCGTGTTAAAATATATTTTTAGAAATGTACAAAACTAAACATCCTACAGTATTTTTACAGTCTTTATTTTACAGTTAAAATAAATGTTTATCAAATAAAGTCTAATGTTACAACTAATCGGGGATCCCTTTAAAGTAGACGCGTGTCCGTTCATTAGGCCACGCTGCGGTGGTCTTCACAGACCCTGAAGGAGTTTGTGGTTCGATCCAGAGATAACTGAGGGAAAGAAGAGAACGTGCACTTGTTCAAACATTGTGATGGCTGCAGCAGGATTTGACTTCCTGTCCGTTTCTTCTGAGTGAAAATAAGAGAGGGCTCATTGTTAGCAGCAGAAGAGTGCTGCAGGTCTGACTCGTTTATTAATGAACAGAACCAAACCTCTGCTGAGGTGTTCCTTCACACCAGGACTTGAAGCCGACCTGACCTCACAGGTCAGCCCGTGGCTGCGTTAAAACCACCGCTCAGCCCGGTTCTGTTTGGCTAAACCCACTCTGAGAGTCGGGTCGAAGCGTTCTCATTTCTCGCTCTGTGTGACGTCGTCCTCGGGGTTTAATAACCGCAGGAGTTTGAGAACAAAGAGCTGGGTTTTTCCACCGCCCCAGAACCTTCGGTTCTGTTGGATCTGTGTGTTTGTAAAGCATCCGACCCGCTGCTCTGAACTTCTTCTTCTTTGGTTTATGACGTGTTGCCGCCTGCTGAAGGTTGATTTATGGTTTTACACATCCTGCGTGTTCTGTAAGGAAACATGATGGTAGCTCCTGGTTTCTGCTGGCCTGCACACATCACAAGAGGACAGTAGTCCAAGTATAATGTACCTGTTTTTAGTCAAACTAAACATTTTATTGATTGTTTGATTGGTTAAATCCTTTCAGACTGACTGCAGCATCCGTTCAACAGCTGCTGGAGGACAGGATGATGCAAAGTAAAACAAACTTTATTGCTTTAACTCTCTGAAAACATTATTTAGTGATAAAAGAACAGAGAGAAAGAAAAGAATACAAACATCAGACAGGAGGGAGCTCTGAAAAACAAAGATGAAGATGGGTCTGCAACCTATGGCTCCAGGGCCACATGTGGCTCTTTGTTTCCTCTGCAGCAGGTATTTGTAGATTTGTAGGCTGTGTCAAAATTCCCGGTCTAGGTGGACCGGGTCCTTGGTGGTTGTGAATTTGGATGGGCTAGCCTCCTGTCCTTACTGTCACCAAGCAACCATGACGAAGCTAAACATAAGCAAAAATAGACAGATTATTTTTAAACTTTGCTCATTTGTCTTGCTTCATCCACGATTACGAGCAGAGAAAAAACTCTGGTCCTTTTGGGATCTGGTGGACTGAGAAGGATCCATCAGACCCGTCCCTCAAATCACGGCTAAAGGAGGACCCATTTGTCGGCCACATCTGAGGTGTCTTTGAATTTGGTCAGACTCCGGCACGGCGCTGTGTGACATAAGTGGACATCAAATACGTCCTTTGGAGGACCCAGACCCTGAATTTGGAAACAGCCGTAAATTATTATTTTACTCAGAGGTGCAAAGCTAGCTTCAGCAGTTTTCTGGTCCAGTTTCAAGTAAATATGTGAATAACGTTTCTGAATGGACAAAAAGTGTTTAACTAAAGTACTAGTTTGACAAGATGTTTTACTCTTTCTCTGTATAGTTTTCCTAGAAGACA